AGAAGGACCATTGCTGTACCAAGCCTAGACCCCGGACTCCCAGTGTGAGTGAGGACCAGATCCCGACCAAGGGACCTTCCCAGTGACCACTCGGACAGTGTTGATCGGGGATGCCTGACTTTGCTGGAACAACTTGGCGCGCACCTGGCATAGAGGGACTGCTGATAAATTGCCAACCCCATGTGGGAACTCTTTGTCATTCTGTTTATCTGTTGTTATCATTCACTATTAGCTCTTTATTACTGTACTATCTATTTGTCGCATTAACCTTTCTGTTAACTGTTGTATGCTAAACTGTAAATAAATTTGCCTTTACTTCACTCCTGACTCGCCTCCTTGATCCTGAACCCAGCAGCCTCACGGCTGATACATTCACAGCACCTAGTGTTGCCCTGAGGGGTCAGGCCAACGCTCAGGATCTCAATATTGCACTGTTAGACAGGAGGATGTGGTGTACAATTGCACATGCACACATAAAAATCAATTAAGCACACATACACTCACTAGGTGCATACACCCCTACTAGGCATACATACTCACACTAGCAGCTCAGATAACCACACGTTCAAAATAATTAGTCTAGGTTCATGCACACCTATCAGCAGTTTAAGCCCATACACGCCACACACACACCAAATTTAGACAGAATCAGTTACCAATTACCAACACCTGCACATCCAATACACATATGTGGATTACTAATTCATATACCACACACACACACACACACACACACACACACACTGGTATCTATATATGTGTATATATGTGTATTCACTAATTCACACACATACCACCCACCTACACATACACACAGGTGAGTTCTTAAGTTGGGTGTTGTGATGTGTATGTATGTATGTGCTTGGTGTACTTGGGATACCTGGGGAAAGGTTAAGGTAAGAAAGTAGAAGTGTAAGGAGTTAAAGTTACCAGGACCGGGATTAGAACCAGTAGACTACAGGGGCCTGGGCTGAAGAACTGAGGTAACTTTAGCTTAATTGATCTTAATTGATTAAAAGACAACGGCCCAAAGCCTTCAGAACAGGGAAGCATGCCGGCACAGAGGCTGGGTCTGGAGCCAGAGCTACGGGGGAGCTGAAAAGGTAGATGGGGAGAGGGAAAAATGGGACTAAGGGAAAGTGTGGGTGTTAAAGAGGGACTCTGGGTGTGGGGGAGCCAAAGGATGGCTCCGGGGCAGCTAGAGAAGTCTGGGAAGCTGCAGGGAGGGGGGAAGCCTGAAAACAGAGAGGTGGACAGCAGAAAATCACAGAAAGAGCAGCAGGAGAGACTGAAAGGCAGCAGGGGAAGGAGGAAAGCAGAAAAATGCAGCAAAAAGTCACAGGGAAAAGGCAGTAGGAACTGAGAGGAGACCGGGAAACTAGTGGAAAGGGGTGGGGGTTGGAATTGAGAGAGAGAGAGAGAGAGAGAATGAGGCTGGAATTTAAGATAAGGAAGGGACTGGGATTCAGTAAAACATGACCCAACTCGGGGTTGCAAATGACAGTGGTTTTATTGAACAGGGGAGATGGTGACACAATGCCAAATTGGTTCCCTTGCACCCACCACCCACATACACACACAAAAACCGGCAGCAGGGGTTAGAGAGGCTTGATGCAGGGGCTGAAGTCCACTGAAGTGGAGAGACAGAGAGAGAAAGACACTAAGGAGAGAGACAGAGAGAGAAAGAGAGAGTCCAAAATGTAGGAGGAGGTGTGCAGGTAATATCTACCTATCCCAGGCTGGAAGTTGATCCTTGATGGCCAGTTGGGGTCTCCTTCAGCTCAGTGTTGTCCAGAGGGGGTCTCCGGCAGGGCCTCTGGGGTGAAAAGGTGATGTGAAGCTGTTCTGGTCTGGATGGAAATAACGTTCCCACTGGGTCTGTCTTCACTGCCCCTTTTTATAGGGGCAGACCATGTGTGACCCTAGTGACAGGAGGCATGCCCAGGCAAGGGTCAGCCCCTGATGTACTGAGCATGTGTGCTCCATGCAGGGATGTGCAATTTTGGGTGACTGTAATGGTGGGGTACAATGATAGAGTTGCTGGTTCTGCAGGGTCTTTTGTTTTTCAAATGCTGGTCTGGTCTCTGTTCCTGGGTGAGGTTGTGGTTCCTGGGTGAATCAATGCGAGGTGATGGCCTGGTCGTTACAGGCTGTTGCACAAACTGCTAGTTTCGTGCCCCTGGACGCTTTTCCAATTCACCTCTAGGAGAGAGTCACACACACTCAGGCTGGGTCCAATTTCAAAGTTATTGTTTGCAAACAGATCGACAAGGGAGCTGAGTCGCTCAAATCAGAGTCGACCTCAAACAGTGTCCGAGGTTCCTTTTTATAGCTAACATAAACAATAGATTTCAACGTGTCACGTGATTATTGGCAGCCTAGACATTACGTCTTGCATCGTATGTCTAGCAGTTACATGTTCTATGACGGTTTACATACATGTCTTATTTACATCTTAGATCCCCTCCCTGGGGCAGTCCCTAAGCCCATCTCGGTCATCCTTTGGTCAGGGTGTGATTTCTTTACATCAACATTTTTCCCTGTCCCTCTTTGCTTATCTCTCGTAAGGAGTTATTTATTGCACCCGTTCCTGGCTCCGTCTGCAGAAGTTTTAGTGCTACTCGTAAATCAATTAGTAGCCTACATGCCTTAGCAGAAGCGATTGTGAAAACATGCAGAAGCAATTTACAAAAGCAGGATGTATAGATTATGTTATATTTTTACCACAAGGCCATTTAGTAGAGGCCTGCTACCATTGTATTTCAATCATTCTCAATCACTCTCATTCATCCCGGAACCAATTTACATGGGAGGGGTACAATGAATCATATTATTGCAACATGGGATGCCCAGGCAGAGGACAGAAGATGGAGGCTTGACATATAAAATGGAAACTTGACATGACTTTGGTTCACTTAAAAACACAGGCCTAAATCATACAATATCCATATGAAACAATAAAAATCAATACGAAAATAATACAATATACAACAGTAAAAATTAATACAAACCTAATAACTATACAATATAAAACAGTGGCTATCCAAAACCAAAAACTTGCTAGCAAAATAAAAATATTCAAAACTTATCCTAAGTTTGAGCTCACTTATACTTATCTATAGGGAATAGAGAGGGAGAGAAAAGTCAGAAATGGTTGAGGAAGGAGGGGAAATACATTTTAAAATAAAAGGAAAAAAGAAAAACTGGGGGTTTTACTACACTAGCTGGCCTGTAACAGCTCTCAAAAAAGCTCATTTCCCTGCATTCCTTGTTTTTCCACTCCACTTGTTATGCTGCTGCCGAAAAAATGCAGACCAGATAGGAACTCTGTTAATGATGCCTGGATAGATAGGGTTGTCAGCATCATCAGTACCTGTGTGGTGTGGTTGCATGAGATTGCAAGACAGGTACGTCATGTCTGTGGCCACGTGTTGACCGGACAATGTGGCAGGAGGTATTCATGAGAACAGGAGAGAGAATGGCAGTCCAGCTCGGGAATGTAGAAAATAGTATTGCTTATCTGTAGTGAAAGTTCTTGATTAATGATTATCATGTGTTTCTCATTTTAAACAGTCAATGCTTTTTGTTATTGCTTGTTGTTATAAAAGTTGTTGTAATAACAGTTGTTATAAAAGTTGTTGATTATTACTTGTGGTTTTAAAAGTTGAAGAATATTGCTTGTTGATTACTGTTACCTTGTAAATGCTGTATGGTTTGGTGATTTATGTAAATGATGCTTAATATACCAGTTACAGTTAATGATGATAAACTATTTTATTTTCTTTCAATGTGGGCCATTAGCAGGTAATCGAGCCAGGCTCCCTGGCTTTGTTCTTAGCACTGGCAAATCAACAGTTGATGACAGAGGCACCAGGAGAAAGGGTAGTAAAACTTGTAAAACTGGAAAACCTGGTAAATCCCCATCCAGGACCCATGGTGTGGCAGGTCACCAGTGTGGGGCACTGTCAGGGCTGTGGGTGGGGTATGACAGAGATAGTATCAGTGACAGGTGGGGGGGGGTCTCACTTTGGACCTGGAGAGTCTTTTGGACCAAGCCTGTTTAGATCTGGGGAGTCCTGTGAGAGGGCAGGTACCATTTGCTTTGAAGGGCAAATGAAAGCATGCAAGACGCCCTCTTCAAGCAGCCAAGCAGTTCTTCATTCCTGGATGGAACCAGGAGAAGATTATGGGGTGACAGTGCCGTTGTCAGTAAGGGCTGCCTGCTGCTATTGCAAGAACACCCATGGGTCTGACTGTGGGGTGAGCATCATGCAACTGTGACTGACATGGCAGCACAAGGAAAAAAAATCAATTATGAAGCATGGACGCTATGGGTTTCAGTCATGTGAGCAGGAGGGCACCATTTGCTCTGAAACCAAATGAAAGCACTCCCCCCTTCAGGCAGCCAAGTGGTTCTTCATTCCTGGGTGAAACCAGGGACAGGTGATGGTGCCATTGTCACCCTGGCCAAAGCATTGCAGGGGCGGAGGGATGGGGATGCAGTTGTCTGTGCAGGTGAGCAGAAGGTTGATTCATGTTGAGCTGGATGGGCTGCTACATATGGTGTTCAAATATGCACAGTTTACACAAGCACCTAAAAAATTGCAGGTATCCTCTCCCTCTCCTATCTGCAAATCAAAGCGACATCTGATGGACAAACAGGCTCACTACATAAAAATTGTAATGGCATCTGGTGGACAAAGGGGTTTCTTACATGTCATTCAATAAATTACCATGTATACTTGACAGATCCATGGATGCATTGTATTAATTTGTGTCGATGCAAACTAAAATATATCAGGATGTGGTTTATTTGGAATCGCAAACAAGTCATTTAAATTGCAAAAAAAACCCATACATGTAAACTGTGATGCAGTTAAACTGAAAAAAGGGGCAATTTTTGTCATGTGTACAATAGGCCTATATGACGTGTTGTAAAGGGACATCACACAACTCACACAGCTGGTTCCAGTCTTCCATAAACAAAGATAAGCCATCCCTTTTGGTCTAAACTCCTTTTATTTCAGGTCAATCAAAACAAAGAAAGTACAGAAGTAAAGTCTCCCTGAAGGGACCTGAGAATGCCTTCACTGTGGTATTCTGCCCTGAGCTGGTTGGTCAGCCCCTTGTTTCTGGAGGCTGCAAGCTCTTTGAGAGTTGAAAGACATGGTGTGCAGTGAAGAAAGGCTTTGTGTTAAGTAGCTAACTATAGTGTGCCCTAGGCATTAGCAAAAAGTCCTTGACTTGTGAACTGAGTACATTGGGGTGAATCCTGATCTCCTTCCACTGATGTAAATCTGCATTAACCACTTTGATTCAAAATAGCTGAAAGCAGTTTGCTGCCTGTATTGTTGCTAATGCTAAGAACCTGTTGACATACCTAAGTTCTACTGTACTTTTTTATACCAATACTGTTGAGGTGCTACAACTCCAATACTGTGCATGCAATTAGACTGGTGCTTATATAAAGGCCTTCCTCTTGTATAACTTATTCCAATATGGGAAGTGGAATAAGCCGTGTGTTTACGTTGCATCTCCATAGGGCTGTATGGGTATAATGGCAAAAATCTGGTCTGGTGCAGTTATACTCAAAGAAAATCTGTGTATAGATCCAGCCTACATGAATGGGACAGGAAGTATTCAGTACGTCACTGGCCATTCACAAGGACCTGGCAGGCAAAGGCATTAAACTACCTTGTGTTATGGAGTTTGTCTGGATACAGAATTCAGATCCTCTTCTTTCCACCTTGCTCGCTCCAGACAAATACAGGCATGATTGTGCTGGGTATAGTGCCAGAGAGTGACTGGGGAGTTTCTATAATGCTACTGGAGCACCAATACTTTTCTGATAACTATGGTACTTTAAAGTGATGGCAATACATTTGCTAACATCTCAGATGTCTGCAGCCTCCCAACAGATCATCCCTACAAATGGTGTGTTGAGGAGGCTCAGACAGTGGTGCTTCACTGGAAGTTTCATCCATTTAAATCACAGGAGTTGGTTGGTCCTTCTAATCCTCTAGCTTGAGCAGCTATCCCAGGAGAGCTCATCCCACAGGCCCTGGTGCTGCAGCAGAATTGGTCACTGAGATGTTTTGTCCTTGCAGAAACAATGTGTCTTATAGCCTCTTTTCTGCTGCATGAAGGGAAGAAGCTACAGCCTAGGAGCAGGGATGGCCAGACCATGCTTTATGTCTGGCAAATCAAATTATTCCAGCCACACACATTTGTACGAGAATGGCACAGACAGGAACAATCACTGTGGCCTTGTTGAAGTGTACTGCTGAAACAGGCACATCTTTCACCAAAGTACCCTGGTAATGGGGTGGGGACTTACATACATAGTCTTGAGGCCAGCCTTGCAGCAAGGACTCTGTGTTTGCCAAGGCCTGGATTTCACTGGCACCTGAGCATGAACAATTATAGGGATTCTGACCTGCCTTCACATTCCGCAGGTGTCTCAGAGACCACAGCTCTTCCTTTGAGAGACGTGAGATCAGGTTTCCATCTAGAATGAGGACTTCTAAAGCAGGGTAGTTCTTGGCTGAGGGGACAGCATGTAGTTTGTTATTGGACAAGTGGAGTTCCTTCAGGAAGTGGAGTGAGAGGTCTAGAGAATGAAGATTATTGAAACTTACATCTAGAACTTCAATGTTGGGAGGCAGAGGTATGACAATGTGATCTATGCCTGTGCTGGACAAGTTAAAGATGGAGAGAGAAGGCTGCCATAGACATGAAGACGACGAGGAAGCTGTAAGGTTGTTTTCACTCAGATCTAGGTGGGCTAGATTGGTCAGCTGCTGCAGCATTTCACATATGGTGTGGTAGGAGATCAGGTTATTGCGACGGAGTTTTAGTACCTGTAGCTCTGGGAAAGCTCCCTGGCAGAATGAAGATCCCAGACTTTGATCTTGGAAGTGGTTTTCTGATAAATCCAGATGGTTTAAGGTTCTAAAAATTTTGCCAATACCACATGGAACATGGGCAACCTGGGACTGTGTCACAGTCAGATTCTGCAGGCTCTCCAGCCAGCTGCTCAAGCTGGAGAAGTCCTGGGCTCTGTCCACCAGGGAAGTGGAGGTCACATTGTGAAAGCGTAATGATGAGATTGGCAAAATCTGCCCAGCCATGTGAGCCCAGCTGGCATTTCCAAGGAAGGTGCAACTTTCAAATCCAAGCATTGTGACTTGAGTGTAGGAAAAGAATTTCAAGACAGCTGCCAAAAGAACCTCTGGCACATCAAGTTCTCCAAAGATCACCTTGGTCACCATCAGAGTTCCCAGCATGTCAATTACTGATGGTTCTAATTTGAATGGTAAGAACCCTAAATATTTCTCCAAGTTTCCTCCTCGAAACTCAAATTCAGTGGCAAGGAGACAACGTGTGAGACTTCTTAGGGTTTTCTCAGATAAATGTAAGCAGATGCAGTGCTGTTGGGAGTTATTGAAAAAACACCTTCCTTCTACCTTGGAGAGTTTCAGTCCTGTGAAGAGCAGAATCACCAAGTACTGAGCGATGTGCATGATGATTAGCCTAGAAAACAGAAGAGTATATCTCAGACCTTTGCTTATTACAATGGTGGGGCTGATTTAGCTCCTGCAGGTGTGGCCTCTTCATTGAAGTCAGTGAGAGCAACTTGTACTTAGTAGCAAGAAGAGAACACCTGATATGACAAAACTTTTGGGGTAGAGGCAATATCTTTTATTAGACTAACTAGATAGCTGCAAAAATATTTCTTTTATTTGCAAGTTTTCAGGCCTAAATGCCCTTCATCAAGCAAAGGAGAATTCAAAGATTGTAAAATGTCTCCTAGGTAGAAACAAAACTTCATATTGCACAGGAAAACTAAAAGCTGGTAAGGTTCTCCTGGGTAGGAAAGTTCATTTGTAAAGAGGCTGCTCCATGAGTATGCAAATTAGGGTCAAACAAAGGCTGGATCATATTGTTTATCTCAGGTGTCCGATGGCATGTAAGTTGCTGAATTTTGCTTCCTTCTTAAGTTGTTCATGTTGTACAGAAGAACTAAAAGATGGTATTGTTTTCTGGGTGTTAAAGTTCATTTGTGAAAAAGCTGCTCTGTGAGTATGTAAATTAGGCTCAAACACGGGCTTGAGCTGGTTGTTTACTTCAAGATGACCAATAGCAGGCCAGATGCTGGATTTTGCTTCTTTTTACTTATGTTGTGAATTTTTCATTTCAAAATGGCTAATTATAAAAAAAATAATTTTTTTGCAACTATCTAGTTGTTTCATAGATTTCATAGACATCAGGGCTGGAAGGGACCTCAGAAGATCATCGAGTCCAGCTCCCTGCCCGAAGGGCAGGAAGTCAGCTGGGGTCATAGGATCCCAGCAAGATAAGCATCCAATTTACTCTTGAAGGTGTTCAATGTAGGTGCTTGAACCACCTCCGGTGGCAGGCTGTTCCAGACCTTGGGGGCTCAGACAGTAAAAAAATTCTTCCTTATGTCCAGCCTGAATCAGTCTTGCAGTAGTTTGTAACCATTTGACCTCGTCATCCTTTGGGGCGCTCTCATGAACAAATGTTCCCCCAGATACTGGTGGTCACCCCTGATAAACCTATAGGTGGCCATCAGATCACCCTTGAGCCTGCGCTTTTCCAGGCAAAAGAGCCCCAGGGCTCTCAGCCTGTTGTTGTAAGGTCTGTTTTCCTGACCTCTGATCATGCACGTGGCTCTTCTCTGGACTCTCTCAAGCTTCTCCACATCCTTTTTGAATTGTGGAGCCCAAAACTGGACGCAGTACTCCAGCTGCAGCCTCACCAAGGCCAAGTACAAGGGGAGAACGATGTCCCAGGATTTGCTTGAGAAGCATTGATGGATGCAAGCCAGCGTTTTGGTTGCTTTACTAGCCTCAGCATCACATTGCAGGCTCATGTTCATCTTGTGGTCAATCATGACCCCCAAGTCCCTTTCATCTGTAGTGCTAGCCAGTGTAGCACTGCTGAGCCTATAAGGATGCTGCAGGTTTTTCCTCCCAAGATGGAGAACATTGCATTTTTCAGTGTTAAACACCATCAGGTTCTCGTCCGCCCATTTCCTGAGCCTGTCCAGGTCAGCCTGGATCCCCCTTCTGTCTTCAGGTGTGGATGCTTTGCCCCAAAGTTTGGTGTCATCGGCGAACTTGGCCAGTCCACTTCTGACTCGAATGTCCACATCATTAATGAAGATGTTGAACAATATGGATCCAAGGACAGAGTCTTGGGGGACCCCACTGGTCACAGGGCACCATGATGATTAACTTCCGTCAATTACTACCCTCTGGGTTCAACCACGGAGCCAATTTCCCAGCCAGCGGATCATGGTGGACCCAAGGCCACAATTGGCCAGTTTCGCCAAGAGGTGATCATGGGATACCAGATCGAAGGCTTTTTTGAAGTCAAGATATATGACATCAATCTCTTCTCCCTTGCCCAGGTGATGTCACCTGGTCGTAGAAGGAAATGAGATTGGTCAAGCAAAACCTACCCGCAACAAACCTATGCTGGCTATCCCTCAGGATGTAAATGTCGGCCAGTCCATTAAGGATGGCCTCTTTAAATAAACATTTCTAAGATCTTCCCCAGAATAGAAGTCAGGCTGATGGGCCTATAGTTTGCCGGATCCACTTTCCTCCCTTTCTTGAAGATAGGCATCACACTGGCCTAGTTGTAATAAAAGATATTGCCTCTACCACAAGAGTTTTGTCTGCCTATGCCTCTAGACCAACACAGCTACAACAAAATCATCTGATACGAAGACTTCTCACATCCACTGCTGCCACATTCCCCTTTTCACTGTCTTGGATCCAGTACTGGCCTGGCATACCCAAGGGATCAAAAGGGGGGAAAACGGAAATGCTAAATTACCTTGTCCTAATTACCCAGGTAGCTCATTTGGTAGACTGCAAGACAACTTCAGGTCATAAGTTCATAATATGGTGGGTTTGCTACATCAAGGAATCATAGAAAAGTAAAGCATATCATTTATATAATGCAAAAGGTCAGTATATTTGTGAACTGAAATGAGTGTGGTTTGAGTCCACTCAGAGATATTGGTTGGGAAGTCGATGTAGCTGTGGATAAAATTCAATAATTAATTATTTAAGTGCAAGTTAGACAAACATTTGTCTTGGATGCTTCAGTCAGGAGTGAATCTGTCTCAAGCAAGGGCTTGGACCAGATGACCTCTTGTAGTCCTTCCCAGCCCTATCAGTCTATGAACTCATAGTCTAGTGATCTGAACACAGAATTTGGGACCAATAACTCTTTTTTCATTTCCAGTCATGACAGGGGCTACACACAAACATTTGGTTTTTACTGAGAGAATCACTGTTCTCCTAGTAGAAATCAAAAGTGTACAGGCATTCAGGTTTTTTCTCTCAGAACAAAAATGGCTCCTCCAGGAGAATAACCCTGGGACAATCAGGACTACATTACTCCTGGAAGACTGAATATCACCAGTATCTGTATGGGAAGGCTTTCACCATAACAGACCACAAACCTTTGGTAGGATTATTTAAGGAAAATAAAGCAGTACTCACTATGGCAGTGGCACAACTATAGCGGTGGGCTTTGACCCTAGCCACGTATGAGTACAAGATTCTTTACAAGGCAGGCCATCGGCATGGGAATGCTGATGCCCTGAGCAGACTAACACTACCAGACTCAGCCCCTACAGAACAGCGCCCCGGGGAAGTGGTCTTGCTGTTGGAACATTTGGAACAGACACCAGTGAAGGCTTCTCAGATCAAAATGTGGACTAGACAGGATCCTATCCTGTCTAGGGCAATGCGCTACACCTTGTTGTATAGCCGGATAGCGCCCCCTTCGATTTTTTTGCTAGGTGTCCTAGCAAAAATCTTTCTGCATTTATGGCACTGGGACATTTTGTGTAAACTGGGGCTGAACGCATGCCTCCATGGCAAAAACATCTCTCCAAGTCTCTAAACTTTTGTTGAGAGCTTTGCACTTGGTTTATGGGCTCATGTTGAGTTTCTTTATTGTCTAGATGTAAATCCTGTACATTTTTCACTGCTGCTTCCATGGCAGTTGCTACCTTTACACTTTGTCCCAGGTCAGGTCCCCATCTGCAAGTAATTGTTTGTGGAGTTGGTGACATAAAAATCCAAAAACAAATGTCTCTCATCATATTCTCTAGGACATTTCTAAAAGAGCAGTGTTCAGCTAGCTTTTTGAGTTCAGCAGTATACTCTAAAATAGATTTACCTTCCTCCCTCCTTCTTTTATGGAATTTGAAAAGTTCTGCAATGGTGTTTGGCATTGGAGTATAATGTTCAGATAAGATATTTTGCAACTCTGCCAAATTTTTATCTCCTGGCTTTCGAAGTTTCAACAAACTTCTTAAAATGGAATATGTTTTGCTGTCACAAACACTGAGAAATACTGCCTTTTGTTTGTCCCTATCAGTGATTTTATTAGCTTGAAAATAATGGTCCAATCTCTCAATATACTGCTTGCCAATCTTCAGTGTCTGGATTAAATTCCTCAATTTTCCCCATAGAAAGACATAGTTAGATTTTCTCACTGCCACTATTAAGTTCCTTCCTTAACAAAGAATACTGAGACCTGCTTTTCTCCAGCCCCAAAACAACAGGCTGTTTTATTCAGGATCAAACAACTGGCTGGGAAAATGAAAGTAACTCTGGACAACAGAGGATGGGGTTCTAGCTCCATCCTATAATAATGAGGACTAACAATTTAGCCCTATAATTGCCCAATTACTGCACTGCTCCCCTCCTCTTCTCCAGACCAGGATCACCCCTGTCTCAGGAAGGCATGGAGAGCATGGGAGAGGGGAGTGGCTACAGACTGAATGTCTGTACAGCTCCCTCTCCCAAAAGGATTTCTGCTGGGAAATTAATGGCTGGGAGCATCTAGTGATTCACTCCACAGCCTATTATGGGCAAGTTACCCTGACTCTCTCCATTTCTTAAACTAGGATTTTAATAAACACCATCCTCACAGAGGGTAAAAGTTGATACACAAATATCTGAATGGATAAAGTGCTGTTCTGCAGGCCTGACCCTGATCTGGGTTCTCAAAGAGCAGTCTGGAAAATGCCAGTGATCAAAGGTTTCAAAGGTGGTAGGAATGCCTTGCTTGTTTTCTTTCTAAATGTTTAGTTCAGCTGCTCCTGGGTGACTAGGGGAGTGATCTCATTCCAGCAACATTGCAGAGGTTGTTATTAAAGGACTCACCAGCCAAGCTGGAAACTGGGATCTTTTCCAGCCAAGGAAGAAGCTCAGTTGCTCTTGCTTCTGAGAGTCCTTACTTAAGTCGCCAGGGATTTTTCTCCTGTGAGCACCTCTGCTCTGGTGAGTGTGATCCTTTCACTCAGTGACCTACTGCCTGGCAGAGGCTCCCAGCTGCCATTTCCTCTTGTGCAGCCCAGCTGCTTCAGTTTTCCAAAAACCCAAGCCAAAAAAGCACAACTGCAGTTCAGGCACACAAAGAGGAAGAAGGTTTCTGAGTAATGGTCATTTCATAATCCTGCTGAGAAACTTCCTTCCCAGAACATGCGCGTCAGCAACAGGCTTCTCCAAGACACAAAAACTGATTGAGTCTGTTGTAATCTGTTGTCCAGAAATCACTTCTGTTTCATTTCCTTATTGCGTGCGTTCACTCCTCAAATGATGCCTGTTGAAATGAAGCAGTCCTAGACATGCCCCACTAACTCCAGGTCCAACCTGTGTTAGGCAGCCCAGGAATAACTTGGATTGGTGGGTGGAGTGCTGTTAAGACCAAGAAACCATTCCAGTAATTGGCTTAATTTTATTAACAAACTACAAACTTGCCCAGTAAACAATGTTATATACCAGCAAGTGCAGCTGCAAGTAGGATAGGAAGATTTCAGTGCTAGGATGTTTAAGGTCTGCTGGCCAGGTGTCTAGGATATCCTGGGGAATACTTCAGCAAAATGTTAAATGAGTGCTGTAAGGTGAATTTTTGATGATTCCAACTTGCTTTAGAAGCTTATCCTTTTATATATTTTGTTCAGAGTGGGCTGCTGTCAGTTTGAGAGTGAATTAATCAATCACTTTGAACAAGCCAAGCACATTTTATAATTCAGTCTAAATTCTACAAATGTATGTATGATTTCCTGACAACCTTTGTGGTCACATGCTGTACCATACCAGCGTCTAATCATTTTGCTTGTTCATGTGCCACCATGCTGTTTCCTTTAATGTTTGTCAAAGTCTGAGTTGTCAAACCATATCCTTTTGCAGCTTGCTTACTGACATGGGTTACAAATAAGTTACAAAATTATGTCTTCAGAAATACACAAAATAGCTAATTAATTATATTAAAGCACAGATGGCCCCCTTTAATGTTACAATCCCCTCCTTAATAGGGGTAGACCTTGGTTAATGCATGGTTTTTACACATGAAACCTAATTTATGCTTTTGAAAAAAAAATACACATGCAATTATGGTGTTCTGGGGTTTTTTTGAGGGGTTTTTTTAGAGAGAGGCAGCATTTTACACATATTTTTAACCTTTGCAGGGAGGACTTTACTATTTTTTGAACCCATACTTGACTTTGAATGCATGCTGAAGCTAAGGATACATTGTTTGTGCTACTTTTAGAGCTGTTAACAACAAGAGATGATTTTGCATATTATTTTTTTTTATTGTGGCAGTAAACCACTGGAATCATTGTAATCAATTAACCAGTGCTTAAATGACCCAATTAAAATCTGCTTTTTGGGGGAGGGGGGAAGGTATTGGTTCCAGATGTTATGATTACTATATTTTTTGCTGCTTGAGCTGAATGAGGTGCACAGCTTCCTTTTACAATAGTTGCTGGGTTATTAAACCTGATAACATAACCCATTGTGGGTTTCTTTTGTAGTAGCTGGAACCATTTACAAACCAAGGGTGTTTTGGTGGGACTTTTTTTTTTAATACCAACTCTTTTTTATATGGTATTAAACCATCTGGTGCCAAAGCAGGTGTATACTACATAGCAGTTTTAACATTATAATTTAGTAAAGGCAATGCTCATGTCGCTAGCTGTGAACTGGACACTTCACCATTATTGCCATTTTTATTAAGTATTTTTAATGTTCCAGTGCTTACATGAGCACTAGCACCTCTTTTTTACAGGGTGTGTGTTTTTGTTCTACCTAGCTCATGACTTGGGATGCATACACAACTGGTTTACAATCCATACCTTCATTTTGACTACAGCTCCCAAACCTTGTTCTGTGACAGCTAATTTTAGTACAAAGGGCTGATTTGGGTTTGGATATGCCAAGGCAGGTGCTTGCATCAGTGCCATTTTTAATTGGGTTATTGCCTTCATTTGTTTTTTATTTTGAAGCTATTTTTTTAGAAGCTTAAATAAGGGTGCAGCCTTTTTAGCATACTTTTTTAATAAATGTTTGGGAAAATTCAGTTAGGCCCAAGAATGATTTTAAGGAGGCAATATTTGTGGGTGCTGGTAATTTTGAAATTACCTTAACTCTTTATTTATTAGGACTTTGGTCCTTAAATTACTATTTTTGCTTTAAAAAAAAAAATTAGCTTATTTTTAGCCCACACCTCCAGGTGTCACTGGCTAAATTTTTAACCTTTTTGTTCAGTCCAGAGGCAAATTTAAAACTTGATTTGTTTCAATGGCTGCACACCTGTGCTTCTGAGGAATTGCATGTAAATTATTATTATTTTTTTTTACTTTTTGCAAAAATATTTTCTTTTGGCTTGGTAAAGGATTTTTGGGGGGTTTTATTGATTTTTTTTTTTTTTTTTTAAAAGGACTTTATTATATTTGCCTTCCAGAACTGGAACAGGGATCTATTACCGAAGAAAAGCTGTGCCTGTATTTACTAACATATTTTGCTTAGGTGTTTCTTTTTCCTTTTGAGAGATGGAACTATGCAATTGGTTGGCCCCATGAGTATAACATGAGGGCACTTTTTGTAGGGCCACCTTTGCTGACACTGGGCATTCCTATTTCTGGGGGGAAGCTAAAGATTTCTGCTGACTATTTTTTAAAAATGTTGGAAGCCCATGGATGGATTAAAAATGCATTCATTTTTAAACCTACAAAACAAAACTAAGAAACAGTTGAGGCAGATGCTTCACTAAACATTTGGTTGTTGTTTTTAGGGGTTTTGCCCCCTTGTCAAGCCTTTAATTGGGATGTATTTTAATTAATTATATTAAAGCACAAATAGCCCCTTTTAATGTTACAACTTCTCCATTCACATGAAAACAGGAAGTTTTTCTAAGTGCCAACCCTGCAAACTTAGGGAGCAGGGAGTCAAGCGAGGCTCTCAGGTACGTAACTGCCAGCTGGCTGAGCACCAAACATAATGAATTACAGGGATCAATAAAACTGCACTTTCATTGTAAAATACCATCTTGATGATATAGCCAAAATCCAGATTTGATTCTCAGATCCCCAGGTAAAATGTACGCTAGTATGGCAGCAGAACAAACACCTCTTAGGCCTAAGGGATATATGGTAATCTGTGTTAATACACTGTATGGTATCCATGTTCCCCGTAGCAACTTTCTGTCTTGTCCCATCCCATATTACTAAAGCATATGAAAAGGAGACCTCGTGTGGGAGAAAATTATAGCTGCAGCCTGTATATTTTTGTGTATATTCTCTGCAGTGTCCTAGGTCTGTAGGGCCCTCCCGTGTCTTGTTTTCAGGTAGGGGACTCAGTTCCTTCCTCAGACTTTTCAGCTTTCCCTGCTGGTATGATGAGATTGCCTGGCGTTCTCCATTTCCCAGCTGTTTCTATAGCTAAAGTCACTCCAGTTCCCACAAGGGTACAGGGGAATTGTACAGCCCACCTTATGCTCCAGCAGTCAGGATCATCTCCACTCTTGTCCATCCCTGACAGTCAGAATCACTTCTCTACCTATGTGATCTCCCTTTCCACCCTCAAATTCAAGATCACACCAAACCTGCACTTTGTTTGCACCCGGATAGCCAGGCTCACTCACGTCCTCACACCTTATCTGTGCCCCCGCCCAGGATTTAAGAGCAGACAAGGCTCTTTGCGTGAATCGGACATCTTTTATTAAACCAACTTAAATAGCTGGACAACATTTTTCTTAGCAAGCTTTCGGGTTTAAATACCCTTTGTCAGGCAGGCTGAAGAAGCCTCTGCAGTTAGCGTGTGCTCTTCCATCCAAAAGAAAGTTAGCAAACTGTCGTGTGGAAGAGCGCACGCCAACTGCAGAGGCTTCCTCAGCCTGATGAAGGGTTTTTAAACTCAAAAGCTTGCTAGTTTTTTTTCCAACTATTTAAGTTGGTCTAATAAAAGATATCAGATTCACCCAAAGAACCTTGTCTGCCTAAAACACGGCTACAACCTTCACCCCTGTGACACGGAGGATTTCAAGGGGAAATTCACTGAAAAGTCTGGGAACGGACTACGCCCCGGCCCCGGCCCGCCGGGCTCCCGGAAGTGCGCGGCTCTCGGCTGCAGCCGGCAGCTTCCTGCGGAG